CTGTAAACCCTGCAGTTTTAGTTTTTTAAATATATAATTATAAATATACTTATAAATTAAAAAATTAATTATTTAAAGTACTTTAAGCTAATTATAAAAAATAACTTATTATACTTTATATAAAAGGCGTGCCTTTACGGTGTTTATAAGGCTTAGGCTAGGGTATATTTTTTTATAGGCTTATAAATTATAATTAAACTTATTATAAATTTTTATAAATATTTAAATTTTTTTTATAAATCCTTGGCCCTTTATATTTTTTTATAAATTTTTATAAGCTAAGTTATTTATAGTATTAGGCCCCCGAAGCAAAGCATAGGTTAGTTATAAAAAATAAGGTAGCTTATAAAAATTTATAAAAAGGTATAATAAACTAGTAAAACCCCTTTATAAGCAGGCCCTTGGCCCTGTATTTAAGCTTGTTATAAATTTATAAAAAAAGTTTTTATTAACCTAGTAGAGCTCCTTTGCTAATATATATATATTAAATATTTTTTTATATATATTACAGACCTTTATATAATTTAGGAACCTATATATATACATATATATATATATATATATATATATATATATATAATAAGTAGAAGTAAAAATTTAAATAGGTATTATAAGAATATAATAATATAATAAATACTAATTTATATTTATAAGTTTAATATATTATATTATATTCTATAACTTACTTTTTAAAAATAAATATAATTTATTTTATTTTACTTAAAAAATATTAGGCTAAAATATAATTTAAATATATTTATTATAAAAATATAAAATATTTTTATACTTTATTTTAATAATAAAAAGTATATTTTAAAAATAATTACTTAGTAGTAGCCTTATGTAATATTATATAATAATTTTATATATAATAATTTAAATTTATAAGTTTAATAAATAAAATATATATTTTAATATTTTATTTATTAAATATATAGCCTAAGCATAATTTAAATATAATTATTTTTATATTTTATAAAATATATTATTTATTTATTATATTAGTAAAAATATATATTTTAAAAATAAAGCTTAAAAATAGCTTAATTTAATATATATTTTAATTATATATATATATAATTATTTTTAAAAAATAATATTATTATAGGTAATATTTTAATTTTATAAATTTAGTATAATAAATTTTTATATTAAATTATTATTTATACTTATAAACCTAGTGTTAAATATTT